CGCTAGTAGGTTTGAGGCCATCGCTAGTAGGTTGGAGGCCATCACTAGTAGGTTGGAGGCCTTGGCTAGTGGGTTTGGCTTGTAGGTTGGAGGCCATCGCTAGTAGGTTGGAGGCCATCGCTAGTAGGTTTGAGGCCATCGTTTGTAGGTTGCAGGCCATCGCTAGTAGGTTGGAGGCCATCGCTAGTAGGTTTGAGGCCATCGCTTATAGGTTGGGCCATCCCTAGTAGGTTGGAGGCCATCGCTAGTAGGTTTGAGGCCATCGCTTGCAGTTTGGAGGCCATCACTAGCAGGTTGGAGGCCATGGCTAGTAGGTTTGAGGCCATCCCTAGTAGGTTGGAGGCGGCCATCGCTAGTAGGTTTGAGGCCATCGCTTGTAGGTTGGAGGCCATCGCTAGTAGGTTGGAGGCCATCGCTAGTAGGTTTGAGGCCATCCCTAGTAGGTTGGAGGCGGCCATCGCTAGTAGGTTTGAGGCCATCGCTTGTAGGTTGGAGGCCATCGCTAGTATAGTTAAACTTTTGATTTTTCCGGTACTGTCGTACCGTGCTGTATACCAACCCTTCAGGTGCCGACAAGGGTGGAGCAGGAGTCTCAGATTCGTTGTGCTTATATAAGGGACCTCATCCGACAAAAATGATCAGTGACACTTGTGGCTGTTCAGAGTCCCTGAGGTGATTGTCAGGGTGGATGAGGACAGAATGACATGGTTTGTACAGAGCTACAGCAAGTGACTTTACCTTTTTCAGTTCGTCTCACTGGAGAGAAGCGGGGAGGTTTGTGGATAAAGATCTAGCGTCATGCACAGGTCATGGCTCTGGATCATGGGGCTTTTCCAATGAGTCAACCTGCTGGTCACTGGGATTTTCTCATCTGAGGAGATCTCTTCGACGCCCTTCCCGGATCGCCTGACCACCGGGTCCTTGGTCATGGAGGCGGCTTCCCGGAGAGCCTGGAGGGATGAAGGTGGTGAAGGTGGGTGTCACAAAGGAACTACCTCCAAACCACTAGCTTCTTGTTAGTCGGAATGGCCTCCAACCTAATAGCGATGGCCTCCACCTAGCAGCGTCTCGTTACTACGGCTTGCTTTCAGCTATTGCAAGCTTGCCAAAGATTTCTCCTCAGGTAAAAGCCACAGACAGGAACGATGCCTACTGTGCTGGTTTTTGCAGCTCACACATTGCCCCTGGAGATGCTGGATACTGTTGCAGGATTCTATGTGCGTTCATGAGGAGAAGACACAACAAAGATGGACCAAGCACATTTCAAGCACCCAGGGCCTTTGCAGGGGGTTGGCGAAGATTTCACAAGTGAGTCATCCAAGAGGTACTGTCTTGGACTTCCAAGAGCACCTAGGGCCTTTGTGACCCAACAAACCACGGGGTACCGCAGGTTCCTGCCTTTGCAGGTCGAACTCGTAGGGGACCGACTTTGCTATGATCGTATTGCTGGGACTGGCGCTGGTCCCGACTCTGGCTGGGCCGGGAGGCCGAGGGATGCGCTTAACATGCACCTGATGAAATGCAATACTTAAATCCGAAATCTAATACGCAGCTTCTTGTTACTAGTAGTAAGGCCAGGAGCCCCTAGTAGCTTCTTGTTGCTTCTTGTTCCTAGTAGCGATGCCAGGAGCCCCTAGTAGCCTCCTTGCTGCTACTAGGAATGTACAATTTCTATCAATTTCTTTACTTCGATTTATCCCCACCATGATTATATTTTCTGCTGATCACCGACAGCTATGTTGCTTCAACATCACCAAGAAAGTGTTTATCTTGCATATATTATATATATATAATATATACTGGCATATAGTATGGCACTCTATCTGTCATAAATTGTTGTGGCACTCTATCTGGCATTCTTTCTAGCATACATTCTGGCATTCTATCGGGCATCCTGTATATTCAGGCATTCTATCTGGTAGATATTGTGGCATTCTTTGTGGTATATATTGTGGCACTCTATCTGGCATATTCTGGCATTCTATTTGGAAAACATGTTGGCACTCTATCTGGCATATATTCTACAGGAGGAGGAGGAGGCGGAGGAGGAGGAGGAGGAGGACAGCCTGACAAAATCTCAAAGCCCTCACCTGCCGAAATATGCGGGGAAGAAATGAGTCCGAGGGTGAAGAGAAGGAGAAGTGGCCTTGATTCTGGCCAAATGTTTGGATATCTGGTGTGGTCGCTGAGGTCTCTGTCCGCTTGGGCCTAAAGGAGCTCCTCGTGTTGGAATCTCAGGGACAGAAACGGCATTTGGACCTGACGCCACCTCTTTTTTTTTGGGGGAGACTTGACCAACCAGCCGCTTGTTTTGTCAGGCACCTGTTTGACACTCAGTGACATGTTCACATTCAGCTATCGCGTTCACTTGTCCAAGGCCGATTGATGTGAAGCCGCCTCGGAGTGGCTGGCGAGTTGTTCACAAGGTGGGATAGAAACAGCGGAGTCCTTCTTCAGACCTGCAGGCGTAACCGTCACGAGAACGCTATGTTGACGGGCTTGCATTTATTGCCCGTAACATCCTTTGCCGTGCAGCTAGGACCTACCCACCTGGGTGCCCCCTCGACCTCGTCCTGAACGTCCTGCCATCACAGACGGTGCCATGAGAGATGAGACGGAGCACTTATCTGACATGAAAAGAGAAACACATCGCAATACTTGTGAGGTGTGTTTGTTTTGGTTGATTGCACATGTTTTGTTTGCGTGTTTTTGATCTGGTTGGCAGTGAGCTGCATTGTTTCGTTTGGCAATGGAACTCTCGGTTGGCTATTCTATTTTGACAGGGCTGCAGCTGAACTTACAATGTGCTCTGTGTAGCTGCATTGTTGTTTGCTATATTGTTTGATACTGTCTGTATCTATAGGTCTGTAGGTTCTTTGCTTTTCAAATTGCAATTGATAGTGCTACGCTAACTACATCCAACTACAAGTTTTCTGTCTCTCTTTTAGTCTTCTTTCTTAAAGGATTCGGCAATTTCAAGACGATTGAGACGCCGCAGGCAGCCAGGGCCCTTCGCAGTGGCGGGACTCGGGGATTGGTGACTGAGGGCGATGGACAGCAGTAAGTCGCGACGACGCAATATTTTTCTATCTTCCAAAATGAAGCAGAATCACAAGAGGATTGTCAGGATTGCCTTGATTTGTGTAGAAATGAGGAGAAGCTTCTCTTTTGGTTTGTCCGACTCTGAAGCCTTTTTGACTTGGCCGGAAGACCAGGTATTCTTTCGGGGTAATCGCATGAATCTTCTGTAGCAGAAGACTGGCCAAGATCGCATGAATCTTCTGCTACAGTTTCGCAGGATGAGGATGAGATGGTTGGTGCTGGACCTGGCTCGGCAGTGGAAGCCCTATTGACTGCCTTCGACTTCATCATTCCTCTCGGGGTGTTCAGCTCAGCCACTTTTTCAGGTGGGACCTGAGTATGCACAGATTTCTGGGCAGCCCTTCGCATACTATCACAAGGCCAGGGAAAGTCCAGCTTCACAGCGCTGAAGGGTCCGAGTCACTAAGAAGCAAATTGACATTTCAATTCTTTCGGACTCACGCCATATTTTTGTCCTTGTTACTAGTAGAAATGCCCTTTGCTACTAGCTTCTTGCTCCGTTCGTAGTAAGGCCAGGAGCCCCCCGTTCGTAGCGTCCTTGTTCCTAGTAGCGATGCCCTTTGCTACTAGTAGCTACTAGAAAGGCCATATTTTTGGGCTTGGGACATAAACTGACTTCGGTGAATAGCTCAGACAGGTCGCACCAGATCTTTTCAAGTAGACTGGTTTAAATTTTTGCGACGAATATGGAACGACCTACTAGCGATGGCCTCCAACCTAGTAGCAACAGCGACCGGCTTTGCATCTCATCCCGGGCCATGGTGGGTCCATCAACCGGACACGATCCAACGAGTTGCTTCAGTGGCTTTGTTTCTACTAATAAGGCACTTGTTACTAGCGTGGCACTTGTTCCTAATAGCTTCTTGTTACTACTAGTAAGGCACTTGTTACCACTATGGCTTTTGGCTTCTGTGGCTTTTGCAGCTTTTGTGGTTTGTGTGGCTTCGGTGGCAGTTGGCTTATGGCATTTGGTTTCGGTTCCCTTTGGCTTCGTTGGCGTGTGCTCAAAACCCAAAGCAGGGGCGGACCCAAGAGACATTGGTACACTTGCACATCTACAAATTTCCAAACTCCTGAAGGACCCACTTTGGTTGTTTGGCGTTTGTGGCTTTTGGCTTGTGTGGCTTTGGTTTTTGGGTGGTTTCTGTGGCTGTTGACTTCGTTTTTGGCTTTTTGTGGCTTGTGTGGCTTTGTGTTGGTTTGATTTTTGATTGCTTGCTTTTGGTGGTTGTCTCTAATTTTGATGGCTGGTTTTGAGCTTCTTCTGCGGGTTTTTAGTAGTTTTTGGCGCATGTGAAATTTGGTGGTTTGTTGGTTGCGGGTTGGTTTTTGATGGCTTGCTTTTGGTTCTTGTGGACTTTGTGAGATTTTGATGGCTTGGTCTTGATCACATTTTTTGTGCTGGCAGTTTGTAGCTTTTTGGTTGGCTGATTCGGTTTGCTCTTTGGGGGAAGCGCTGTCCCCCCCTCTAGCTGTTTCAAGCCAAGCCAAGTCAACCAAACCCCAAAAAGGACAACAAAGCCAAGCTCGCCACCACAGAAAAACTGCACCCTCAGAAGCATCAGGGGACTGCCTACACTGCTGGGAACCTTCCTAAAACCCCATAGGGAGCAACCTAGATTCCAAAACTAAGGGTGCAGCCTTTCAAGAGGTTCATACACATCAATTTTTTGGGTTTCATGTGTTACAGAAACTTTCAGCCAGCCATTGCTCAGATCAGAAATTCACCGAAACCATTCGCTCCTTTGCAGTCGTTTGTGATCGCAACAGCGTTGACCCGTTCACCTCTTTCGTCGGCCAGGTCTGTTTTAGCGACACCAAGCCCACGGGTCTTCGCATGTCTGCATGCCTTGGAACAATGGAAGAGCCGGATGCCCGGTTTGTTCCGGGGGACAGCAACAAATTCGGAGCGGAGCTCGCGGCAACGGCACCAGCACGTGTAGACAGACTTGGCTGTGTAGAGAGTTACTTAAGTTTGACGCACTTCCAAACCAGACAAACAAGGAAAGCATAGTGATAGCCGGGTTGCCACCCATCCTTTGCAGTGGAAACAGCAGGGCTTCATTCAGTGTTCTAAAGTTCTAGCTCTTTGTGCTGCTCAGGTGTCGAGCCGACACTTTTACCCTTTGTGACCAGACAGTTGGGGTGCCCTCCAGACGCCAAATGTTGCTCCCGACCGTCGCCATCGCCACCATTGGTGGTGTTGCTCAGCGGTTTTCAGGGAGGGGATGTTTTTGGCAATGTCATGCAGTTTGCAGGGCAACCGTACTAGGAACAAGAAGCCACTAGGGGCTCCTGGCATCGCTACTAGGAGCAAGGATGCTACTAGGGGCTCCTGGCCGTACTACTAGGGGCAAGAAGCTACTAGGAACAAGAAGGAATCTGTCAAACAACTGTGAAAATCGATGAAAATCGTGTAGTGGCCGCCTGGGTGGCTGATATCCACATCGTCTGTCATTTGGAAATGGATATGCCATGCACACATAGAAAGATCGTGAGTCATGAGCAGAAAACCATTACGCCGTGAAGTCCTTTGAAAGTCTCTTTGGGGTGAGGGTGGCGCGCCCGCGCGAAGGTGATTTGCAGATGGTGCCTTCATGTGTCAACCATACAAATGCCCAGAGCGACTGTAGTGATCCGAGGTCGACAGCTTTAAGAAGGTCACGGATCCCTTCATTCTCGTGGCTTTAGAGCACCTTGGAAGATTGGCGGAGGAATCATGAGGACTCTGGAAGACTCTGGAAGACCTTTCTTGGATCTCTCAGATTGGAGGTAAGTTCATTTTGGGACGCTTCATGTGGACAAGTTTTGCGAGGGATTTATACGGCTTTACCAGTAGCTAGAAGCTACTAGGTGGAGGCCATCGCTATTAGGTTGGAGGCCATCGCTACTAGTAACAAGAAGCCACTATATAGTAACAAAGAAGAGATGTTTTGAGCGGTTTTATAAATGATTACGTCGTATTTGGGGCATCTGTGAAACAGGCAGCGACGGAACATTTGTGAATGCTCACACCTCCGGCCCAGCGGAGTTCCGCCGAAAACAAGCAAGCGGGCCATGTGGAGTCAGACCTCTCAGGAAAGGCCCTCAGGATTTCCTCGCTTACTGAGGTTACATCCTGCTATTGCCTGAAACCCAGGAACCCGCCACGGGGTTCTGGATGTTGGAGCTGTTTCATGATGTTTCATGACTTTCTGCACCTGATTGCGTCGCACATTTGTCTCCATCGAAGCATACAGAGTAGCTGGGGCCTTGGCGGCCTTGACCCAGCTGAGGCAGATTTTAGCCCCTCCAAATCGGAGGATGGCCTGCCCAATCCTCAGGTCTCATAGTGCAGTGCGGCGCGGTGTATGTCGTTGAGAACCGTATGAAACCTCCCAAGATGAACTAAGTAATGGCCTTGTCATATGGAACCCTGGGGGCTATACTCATTTTGCAGAGTCAAGTTCAGTCCAGTGCTATGCAGATGTTTAGGGCCGGAAGCACCAACAATCAAAATGCCTTTGTTCGTCGTGTTCAACCTCGAAACACTTCGAAACATCGTTGGTCTTCGGAACAGCGATCACGGGTTTCCCAGCGAAACGTTTCGCCACGGTTGAGCGGCCAATCGGTGCGAAACGGCGGTGCGAAACGGGCCGCGAGTACTGAGGCTCTATGCGCATCCAAGCTCCAAAGGTCCCATCATGACTTGGTTAAGGCGACGGTGACCGGTGGCCGACGGAAGGTCGGTCGAGCGGTATCCGCTTCTAGAGCCTCGATGGCCGGTGTGGCTTCCTCTTCTCACATCGAACAATCACAGACAAGCTGAAGAATCAGCTCACTTTCTAGTCTTGCCTGTGGATTCCGCTGGAGGAATGAAGTGCAGTTTGGGTGGCCAATGTTTCCACTGAGGCGCTAGACATTGGGCGGGAGGGAGTGGGAGAACATACCGAGCTTTGGAATGCTTTTGGATGAGGCTCAAACGCCAGCGTTTCCCATGGGTTTCAAAAGGTCCAGAATGCTTCCCAAGATATCTTTTCAATGAAGCCTGGAGGGAATGCGGCCGTAATACGATCTCATGATGCGGACGGGGCCTCTCCTTACTAGGGGCACCAGTATCATAGTCACTGATAGTCAGCCGCATGAGACCTTCCTCGCTGCTGTAGTGTGTGTTTCCCCTCCTACTGTGTTTCTAATTTGCCTTCGCCACTTGCCAGGACTGAAGAGCAGATCATCTATGCAGTGGGGAAAAACCCGCGGCCGGGCCACCCGAGCTTCACCGTCGTAGCAATGGGCCAGAGGGCACTGTTTTGGGCTGTTTTGTGAGGCTCGTCGGAGTCTCCGTCTCGAGGTGGGAAGGAAGGTCTACATACTGGTGACCTTGAGTCAACAGATCCTGATTATTGTTCCATTTTTGGCAAGGGGTTACAAGTCAGATGGTTCGTGAGGAGTTTTCGTTAAATGATGACACAAGCTAGACTTCAAGTAGGTCAAAACGTGCCCTTCTCCAAATGTGATTATACATGCATAGCTTGTCAATGAGAGAAGTCACCCGTCACCGAGTTTGCCGTAGGGTCTGTGCCGGACCTTACTTCTGTGCAATGGGAAAGCATTAGCACTACCACCACTGCCATTACTACAGCCTACGACCTTGTTGTGGTCCGCTACGAGTCCTCGTCAGAAGCTGTGATTCCCGATGTGTGAAAGGATCAACTTTCTGTACGGGAACATGGGAACCTGCATTGAACCGGGAATTGCATGTGGAATTCGCTTCGACTTGTCATTAGCATGGATGTTTCAAACTTGGACAAAGGCAGGATTTTCAAGAACGCTACATAGGAGCAAAGGACGCTACGAACGGAGCAAAGGGCATCGCTAGGAACGGGGCTCCTGGCCTTACTAGGAACAAGAACGCTACGAACGGAACACCTCAGAATGACCATCCATTTTTCAGCGCCCCCATTCGCGCGACGCGACCTCCAGGAGTTCCGAGCGAAGAGCCATCGCCACGGGTCGCTTCATTGAGGCTTTGGTCGATGAGCCCGGGGCACCCGGTCCGGGCGGCACCCGAGGGCGCCCGGTCCGGGCTTGGTGCTTTTTTGGTTCGCATCGGTTGAATTGGAGGGGAAGTTGTTGGCATCCAGATTGGCTTTGAGTGTATAATAGTGTGTATATATGTCTAGTGCCTGCACTTTAATGTAAACCGGAAGCGATTTGGCCGCATCCTGATCGCTCAAGATCTTCTCAGGAACGGGGGCGGTGCCATGGATGTCGGCACGTTGCCCTCCCACCTTTGGGCTGTGATCCTGGGTTGGGGGCTTCGTGCCTTTTTCGAAAGGCCTTCGACCCCCGAGGAAAGGCCTTGCATCTGCCGGTGCAGCTGCTCTTGTGTCAGTGAAGGCACCGGTTTCTCCTTTCTGGCCCTGGTGTTTATCCTCGTGTTAGGATTGGGCTTGACAGCTGCCTGGTTCTTTTTGAAGAAGGAGACCGCAGGTTCTGCGAGTCCCAAGGGACGGAAGGGAGTTTTTGGTGTGAGTGGAAAAGTTCTCTCATTGACTGGTTGAAATGGAAAGTGGACATGTTGCCCTTGTCCACTACGGAGAAAATCCTAGTGTCTGGCATGTTCGCATCCTCCTCGGCCACATACAAGCCAATGAATGGCAGATCCTCACGCCGGACTTTGACCGATACAGTGAGCAGTTAGATCATCTCAATCCGGATTATACAGATTTCATTTATTTGGGAGCATCTACAACTGTTCCTGCAAGAGTGCCTGCTCATGAGGTGTATGGGTTCGCGCCCATGGACCCTGGAACGCTAGCTCACCACATTCAACAAGGTCGCATGGAAGCAAATGCCGAGAGGCTCAACCGAGGTCTTCCACCTCTGGCTCCTATGGCTGCTGGACATGCGGCTGTGGTTCCTCCGCCACCGGCAGTCGCTCCTTTACCAGGAGTGCTAGGAGGAGGGGCTGCGGTCGCAGGAGCTCCCCCAGCGGGGGCAGGGGCCGGGGCGGCTCCAGCCGGAGTGGTTAGCATGTGTTGGGTCAGCATTGAAAATGCAGGTGGCTATAGCAAGGGTGACATTGTTGTTACAGAACCTGCACTGCTTCCGGCTGGACATGTGTTGATTGGAGAGAAGGCCATTGTTCCTGCAAGGGATGGTTCAGCAGTCGGGTGTTTTTGCAAAAGGGTCAAAGTTACAGATGCAGGCAGTTACAAGCTTGAGGACCTCCGCGTGCTTCCTGTTTCCTTCGACGCCCAGGGTATCAGGAGACGGGAGTTTGCTCAGGCCGTAGCTGCCATGGTTGAAGGTGTTCCCCAAGGAGGAGGGCTGCAGCAACGGCCCTCAATGTGTTGAAAGCCCTTCGAGATCAGGCTATGACACCGACATCTTTCTATGAGTTTTGGCTGCGCAGTGCTGAAATCCCGAAGGGGGATCGGTCGACCTATGAGCATGAGGTCCTCTCCCGCATCCTCGAATCGATCGTCACGTTGAATGTTAGTGGACTTCAAGGGGTCGAGTTGTTGGTTCGTCGACTTCAAGTGATCCGTGAGGCTCACCGAATCTCGCCAACAAGCCCAGATTACAGCTCAGCAGAATTTTTCATGGGATGGCGCTACTGCAAGGGAGCGCATGGTGTCGACCCTGACCTCGCCCATCACGTGGCAGCGGAATTGAAGTCCGAGGCCATGATCCTCAAGGAAAGCCGCAAGGCTAAAGAAGAGGCCCAAGCACGCCGTCGAAACCCGGAGACAAGAAGGGGGGAGGCGGCGGAGATCAGAAATGAGAAGAAGTCCGGGTGGCGCTTTGACAGCAGGGGTGCCACCCTTCCCTGCATGCTCTGCTGATGATGAATTCGATCCTTTCCATGGCCGTGAGCTCAATGACTTCAATCGAGAAGAACGATGGCGTGAGCTTTTTCCACTGCCGCACGCGGTCCCTCCCGGCTCAGGCTACGGGCTTTCCACATCTTCTAGACGAAGGAAGGCCAAGGTCCGTGGTTTGGTTGAGGAGTCAAATCGTGTAATTGACAGTTTGAACGAGATGTATGCCGCACAGTCCAATGTTTGTGAAACTAGAGTCAGTGAAGCACAGAGGGCTAGTCAGCATGCAATTTTTCAGCAATTGGCCCGAATGCCCAGGGCTCAAAAACAATGCAGTATGCGTGAGGCTGTTCAAGAGCTTCTGCAGTGTGACTCCTCCTACGGACAGGAGGATTTTGTCAGCACGGTACGCCCCTATGACCGAGAGCTTGTTTCGCTTCCCGACACGGGAGATTGTCCGATAGCACTGGACCAGGTCCTTGATGAACATGGACGACAAGTACTTGGTGATCCTCAATGCAGTATGCTTCTCTCGGATGAGGAGTGGGGGCGGGTGCTGGAAGAGGGAGATTTGGTGAGGCCATATATGGATGAGAGGTTGCAGAAAGATCAAAAGTTGTACGTTTCTTTCGTTCAGGACTTGCATGCAAAGGGGATGATCTCTTTCACCTCGAGGCCACGGGAAATTGCTCCTCCGTTTTTCGTCAAAAAGAAGAATGGACGACTACGCCTTATTCTTGATTGTCGAGCCGTGAACAAACGCTTCAAAAAACCGCCACCACTGGCCTTGGGTGCTGGTACCTCGTGGGCCCAGGTGGCGATCCCAGAGGGCTCTACGTTGTATCTGGCTCAATCCGACATCAAGGACTATTTTTACAGCCTTGCATTACCACAAGAACTACAAAGCCTGTTCTGTCTTCCGGCCATTGCCAAGTCGGCCTTGCAGGACTGGAACGTCGACATGGCGACTGTGGATGAGGATGCAGAAGGCTGGACTTTCCCGATGCTGCGGGTGATTCCCATGGGCTGGAGTTGGGCAATGTGGGTTGCACAACGTGTTCACACCCATCTGTGCATTGAGGCTGGAGGTCTTAGCATTGACCGGGTCGTGGTTGAGAGCAAGGCCCCTCCAGACATTTCAGACAAAGAGGTCATTTTGATCCCCTACGCTGACAATCTGAACGTTGCAGGCATTGATGAACTTCGAGTTCAAGAGGTGAAGGACAAGATCGTTCGAAGGCTCCGGCAAATCGGATTCAGAGTGCATGAAGAACTTGAAGCATGTCCCATTGGGCAAAGCCTTGGTTTCCTGATCGATGGACAGAGGGGTATTGTCACGCCAATTCCGGAAAGGCTGCAGAAGGTGAAGCTGGCACTGGATTGGCTTGGCAGGCGTCCGTGGGTTTCAGGGAAACAAGTAGAGCGGCTTATTGGGCATTGCATTCATTTCATGCTTCTTCGACGTGAGTTGCTTTCGGTTTTCAGATCCATGTACGATTTTGTTCAAAAGAGTTATCACTACAAGAGCGTGCTTTTTCCATCAGCAGCAAGAGAAGCGCGTTGGGCCTCCAGTCTTTTGGGCCTATGCAGTGTTGACCTCAAGCGAACTTGGAGTGAGAAGGTGACCAGCAGTGACGCCTCTCTGTCAGGCATTGCTGTATGCACACGTGAGCTGCCTCGTGAGGAAGTAGCCCTCATAGGTGCACAGAGAGAACCCTGGCGATACAGGTACAGGGAGCTTCCACCGCCACGTGAAGCTGCTTTTCTGACATTTCTACTGTTAAGCCTTTACGGACGGATTTGGAACCTGAAGATCCTTTTGAGCTCAACGAGAAGTTTCTTGAAGTTCCCCCCGAAGTGATGCAGCAGGACCACTGGCATGAAGCTTTCGCTGTGCATATGAAACATGCTGAGCATATCACGTTGCTTGAGGCCAGAGGTGTTGTATTTTCACTTAGGCACAAATTTCGGTGAGTTCAGCATTTTGCAAGGCGGCGTTTGCATTTTGGGGACAACATGAGCATGGTGTTGATGATTTCTAAAGGACGCTCGAGCACCTTCCCCATGTTGAAGGTTTGTAGAAGACTGTGTGCGTTGCTGCTATGTACTGACTCCTACCTGTCCACTCGCTGGATTCCGTCGGAGTTGAACGTTGCTGACAAGGGTTCTCGAAGGTGGGAGCATCTTAGAAAACAGCATGTTGCTGGCCGAGCCAGTGAGAGGCAGGAGCTTCGGAGGATTCATGAAAGGTGCTACCCAACTCGAACTGGCCAACAAGACCATGGACAAGCTGCATTCGGTCCCTTGTCCCCAGAAGAAGAGAGGCAAGGTTTTGATGACCCACTTCGACAAGAAGCCTGCAGAGAAGGCAAAGACTCGAGCGCAAGTGGTGGCCAAAAGAACGGATCCACCCCGCTTCAAGGGACAGACGAACTTGGAGCGATTGGCAGTCTCAGAGGCTGTCGCCCGGGACTATACACGAAGAATAGAGGACTTGAGACGATTCTCGAAGATGCAGAAGTTTTCTTTGAAGGGTCCCAAGAATTGGACGAGGCCTGCACCAGATTTCTCAACGACATCTTCGAGCAGGGCGTCGAGTTCCACGAAGGCTCAAAATTTGTGGCCGCAGTGAAAGATGCGTTCCCAGACTATGGCCCGAAGGGCATGTTGCCTCGGATGGTCCGGGCGCTGCAGGGTTGGGGGAAGGTCGACCCTCAAAAGACACGACCTCCCCTTCCATGGGAGCTGGTGGCGAGCCTCGCCATGAAGATGAGGAGGCGGGGCCGCCTGCAGCCGGCGTTGGCAACCCTGACAATGTTCACTGCTCACCTGAGGCCAGGCGAGTGTCTGGCCATTCAGAAGACAGATCTGGCGAAGCCGATGCCGAAGCAAGAGTTTCATACATTGCATCTTCATCCTGCCGAACGACACGAGGCCTCAAAAGTTGGAATCTCAGAAGAATCAATCCAACTGGATGCCGTGCAGGTGCAATGGCTGGGACTAGCCCTCGAGCAGCTCCAATCCCCAGGTCCCTTCCTTTTCGACCTGGGATACACGGAGATGGTGAGTGCTTGGAAACAAGCACTCGTCGACGTAGGACTGGAGCACAACCATGCCGTGCTCCATCAGCTTCGCCACTTTGGACCTTCGTTCGATCGATGCCACCGTCTCAGATCGCTGATGGAGATCAAAGCCAGAGGCCGATGGGCCGCGGATGCCAGTCTCCGTCGCTACGAGCAGCATGGCCGCTTGAATCAGGAATACCATCGCCTACCACTGGCGACACAAAAGCTTGTTTTGCAGTTGGAAGAGCAGATGAGAAAGCTGGGCCCAAAGTTTTTCACCCACCCTCAGCAATAGACAATGGAAAGCTGTTTATTGAGCTGTTCTCAGGATGCGCACGCCTTTCAGAGGCCATGGCAGCGCATGGTTTCACAGCCATTGCCTATGACATTGACTATGGCGCAGGCTGTGACCTCCTGGATGCCAGAATCCGCCTGGACTTGACTCGATTTGTCAAGCAGCATCGAAGTCGTATTGCGTTGATTTGGCTGGGCACTCCTTGCACTTACTTGGTCGCGTGCCAGAAGGCACGACGGTGGCCCTCCGCCCTTGAGGGACGATTGTGAAAATCTTTGGGGGTTTGCCGATCTACGTCCACATGATCGCACAAAAGTTAGCTTGGGCAATGAGTTGCTGTTCACCTCAAAGTTTTACATTGACCTTGCTTGCCATTTGTCTATTCCCTGGGTCATGGAAAACCCCTATACATCCCGGATCTGGCTCACGCCGCAAGCTTTGGCATTGAAAACCTTTGGGGCACGTCTCCATGAAACACATTTCTGTTGTTTTGGGACGCCTTGGAGAAAGGCTACAGGACTGTTGGAATGGGGTTTCCCTTCGCTCCAAGCATGTGCACTGACCTGCCAACCACTGGGAGGTCGCTGCCAACACTCCGGCAAGCGCCATGTTGCATTGTCCGGCCGGGACGAGGAAGGTCGCTGGAGAACACATGTGGCACAACCTTACCCTCGTTTGCTTTGTGCTCAGATCGCCCACCAACTACAGAGTTCACTAGTGTAAGTGGATTGGGTTGAGATGGGCCTGATTCAAAACCTGGAATCAGAGCCAACCTTT